AATGTTAACTCCATGTGGAGTTTCTTCAATACACATTGTCTTCTTGGTAGTTGCTTTCATATTCATCATCTTTTCTGAAGTAGATTGGTATATTGGTGCTTCCAAGAGGAGACATGTCTCATTGTCATAAAAAATACCTATGTTATTAAAACATTTTAAATGTCATATTCTGTAGCTCTCTGAATTGTTTGAAGGCAACCTGTCTATCTAAAATATATCTCTGTTTGTCTTTGAAAAAATACCTAATGTAATTAAAAATTTTATTGTAAAAGGTGTCTAATTACTATCCTGCATTTCCTTATTATCTTGTATAGTTGTTAATCTGTGGAGTCTCCTCTTTTTGTTGTTTCTTGTTTTGTTTTTCAAGAAACGTTTTATCTGTGTTGACAGTCCTGGCTATCCCAAAATGCACTTTGTAGACAAGACTGGCCTCAAACTTGTTGAGACTTGAGTGCTTCTACCTCCAAAGTGGTAGGATTAAAAGTGCATATGACCTCAACCACCATGTTTGGATTCCATCTTCTTTTTGGAGACTTCAGAGGTCACATTAGGTAAAATTATTTCATTGCTTGGCAAGTTTTCCAGGTTGTTCTCTCCTCTTCTTTGGATGCTTATGTGTCCAAATGTCTTTAAGTTCTGCAAGATGATCATTTTATTTTCCTAAAAATACAAAAGCAAAACTCTCCCTCAATGCTATGTTTGGAGAAGTTCCTAATCTAATCCTTATCAATTTTGATTTATGTTTTCTCTTTAAATCTTTTTCTTTTTATCATATAAAGTTCTTCTCTTACCCAGGACAATATGTTTTCTTTCAATAAGCATTAGGTTATTTAATTGTTCTGGGAAGGAATTTCATCCATGGTGGCAGGAAATGAATGAACCGGTTTTGGCATAGGGGCTTTGAGAGGTCCCAAAGACAAATACTACTTTGATATTCTCTTCTTGATCTACATTCCTTAGTTCAATGACTGCCTTTGCCATAACTTCTGCATAATCCAGAAGGGAGGTTCATTCTGATTGAATAATGTGTATAAAAAGAATTGTTTCTAGAAGTGCCCTGTTTACAAAGCTTTTTAAGGTATGGCACAATTAAAATATTTGACATTTTGATTTTTCTTTAAACCTCTTGAAATCATCTCTCCTATCCATGTATCATTATCATGGCCATGAGCTTCATATTTAATTGTATCTAGGTCCAATCCTCTAGAAAAACTTAATTTGCATTTAAAGGCCTAATTATCCTTTTGTATTGTGCATCAGCATCTTCAAAAGCCAGAGTTTCAATGATTATTTTTCTAGCATCTGAGTCTGAAATTCCGTTGACTTCCAGTGACAGTCTTTGTAAGAATTCAGTGAATGCTCCCTTTGGGCCCTGAATAACTATTACAAAGGATTCAATTTTCTTTCCTGCTTCTCCAATTCTGTCTCAAGAAATCAAAGCTGCTGCATTGCATAAACCTAAGAGGTGATCACATTGACTTTGCCTTTCTAAAGTAGTACAATCTCCTTCATCAAGAATTTGATCTTGGGAACCTCTATATCTCTAGCTTTAGTCTGTTATTGAATATTCTTAGTCTCTCCTCTGAACCATGAAGTCTATTGTAATTGTGGTCCAGGCTCTAGCACAGCTTTAATCAAATCTATGCAATCTATAGTGATAACCCTATTACAAACTTACCACCTGCAAATCATCTGCTTCACAAATGGTGAATAGATGCCATATGAGAATACAGCTTTCTTGAACTTCCCTAAATCAGATAATGTCACAGGCTTTCAAGTAGCTTTTATCAAGTAGCTTTTATAGAAGTTTTCCTTTGGCAATTCCCTGTAAGTTTACTGGATATAATAAATATGCTTCTCTTAAGACCTTAGACTGTTCCCTGTTAAACTTAAAATGCAATGCTTAATTTGTTTCCCCACTTAATTTCTCAGTCTGGGTTTGAATATCTCTATAATCTGTTTTAATAAGTTTTTCTCAGGCCTGTATCTTAGCACTCATATCAACCAACATTTTTAGGGATAAGCAAAGAATTATCAAACCAACAACAAAGATTATCAAAATGATAATTAACAGTATGTCACTCCTGGTTAAGTTGATTATCCCTTTTTTAAACCATCCAATATGTAATCATACAGAGGTTTACTTCTCTCCATTTTAATAGTGTTTTCCATTTTTTATTTCTTTAAATTAGAAACATGCATGCTTTGAATGTCAATCCCAACTCCCCACCTTGTCCCTCCACCAGCCCTGCCCCCACCTCCCACCCCCAGCCCAATCCCCACATCATTCCCCAGGGAGGGTGAGGCCCTCCTTGGGGGGATCTCCAGAGTCTATCATTTCATCCAGGCAGAACCTAGGCCCTTCTCCATGTGTCCAGGCTGAGAGAGCACCCCTCCTTGTGGAATGGGCTCCCAAGTTCATTTTTTTTTTTTGGTTTTTACGAGACAGGGTTTCTCTGTATTGTTTTGGAGGCTGTTGGTCCAGCCCGGCCTCGAACTCACAGAGATCTGCCTGCCTCTGCCTCCCGAGAGCTGGGATTAAAGGCATGCGCCACCACCGCCCGGCCCAAGTTCATTTTTAACTAACCCTTCCTTTAAGAATTTCCAATTGACTTGTCAAATCTGCTGACATTGTCAATGAGCAGTGAGGTGTAGCACATTTGAATTGGAGAACTAGCTTGTTGCCTTGAGTTGAAAGTATCAGCCTGAGGAGAGGAGCTCTAGAAAGCACTTGAATGCCTCAGAGTCTATTGTTATGTTCCCCATTTTGTTTCTGATTATGTTAATTTACATGTTAACACTGTGCCGTTTGGTAAGTTTGGACGATGGTTTGTCTATCTTGTTGATTTTCTCAAATAACCAACTCTTTGTTGCATTGATTCTTTGTATTGTTCTCCTAGTTTCTACTTTATTGATTTCAGCCTTCAGTCTGATTATTTCCTGGTGTCTACTCCTCCTGGGTGACTTTGCTTCTTTGTGTTCTAGAACTTTCAGCTATGCTGTTAATTCTCTAGTATAACTATTCTACAGTTTCTTTATGTGGGCACTTAGTGCTATGAACTTCCCTCATAGCACAGCTTTCAAAGTGCCCCATAGGTTTGGGTATGTTGTGTCTTCATTCTCATTGAATTCTAATTCTGGTGAAATTGTGCATTATTCAATCTTCATGGATTTGTGGAGTTACTGCAATTTGTGTTGTTGTTGAATTCTAATTTTAATGCATGGCAGTCTGATAAGATGCATGCAGTTATTCCAACTTTTTGTACATGTTGAGATTTGATATGTTGTCAATTATGTGGTCGATTTTTGGGAAGGTTCCATATGGTGCTGAGAAAAAGGTGTATTTCTTTTTTATTTGGATGGAATGTTCTATAGATATTTGTTAATCCCAATTGGTGCTTAGCTTCTATTAATTCCTTTGCTTCTTTGTTAAGTTTCTGTCTGGTATTCCTGTCTAGTGGTGAGAGTGTGGTGTTGAAGTCTCCCACTACAAGTGTGTGGGGCTTTATATGTGATTTGAGTTTTAGTAATTTTTTTTTTTACTAATGTGGATTCCTTTGTAAGTGGGGCATAGATGTTCAGAACTGAAACTTCATCTTGGTGGATTTCTCCTGTGATGAATATGTAATGACCTCCTTCATCTCTTTTGATTGATTTTATTTTAAAGTCTAATTTGTTAGATATTAGGATTGCTACCCCCACTTGTTTCTTGGGTCCATTTGATTGAAAGATCTTTTCTCAAACTTTAACTCTGAGGTTATATCTGTCTTTGATGTGGAGGTGTGTTTCTGGTATGCAGCAGAAGGATGCGTTCTGTCTTAGAATCCATTCTGTTAGCCTGTATCTTTTTATGGGCAAGTTGAGACCATTAATATTGAGGGATATTAATGACCATTGACTGCTCATTCTTCTTTGATTTGGAACGGTCGTTGTTGGTGGAATTATGTTTGTAATTCCACCCCCTCTTTTCTTTTGGCTGCTCATAAGGTGGGATTATCTAATGCCCATGTTTTTCTGGTTTCAGTTAACTTCCTTGGGTTGGACTTTTCCTTCCAGAACTTTCTATAGGGCTGGGTTAATGGATATGTATTGTTTGAATCTAGTTTTGTCATGGAATATCTTGTTTTCTCCATCTATAATGATTGAAAGCTTTGCTGAGTATAGTAGTCTGGGCTAGCATCCATGATCTCATAGTGTTTGTAGAATATCTATCCAGGACCTTGCTTTCAGAGTTCCCATGAAGTCAGGTGTGATTCAGATAGGTTTGCCTTTATATGTTACTTGACCTTTTTCCTTAGCTGCTCTTAGTATTCTTTCTTTATTCTGTATATTTTGGTTCTTGATTATTGTGTGGCAAAGGAACTTTTTTGTGGCCCACTATATTTGGTTTTCTTACCTCTACCTCAGCTGAAACAAGAGAGGTGATCCTCAAACTGCTCCAGAACTCATTGGTCCTCAGACACACTCAAACTGCTATGATCTCCTCAACATGGTTAGAAACTCTCTCAGATTGTTCCCCTTTCCTTAATGTAGCTGCAGAATGATCCTGTTCTTGTCTTAAATACCTCCCATGAGTCCTCGGACTAAAGGTGTGTGATCCCAAGTGCTGAGATCATCTTTTTCTAAGATGCTTCTCTTTAGGACTGCCTATATTTCCTGTAGCTCATTGTGGCCTTGAAGTAACAGAGATCTGTTTACCTACATCTCCCAAGTAGTGAGATTAAAGATTTCTACCCCCACTGCATGATCTCTATAGCTTGAGTCTCATTTTTCTTTCTGGATCCTCAGGCAAGCTTTAACAAATCATAAATAATATATCACCACATCACTGCCCTGAGACCACATTTTATAAATTTAGAGACAGCAAATTCCTTTAGTAAAACACAGTTAATTATATAGTCTCCATATTTTGGTCAATAAATTTTATTTTTAAAATCAAATCCTGAATCAATATGAGGTTCAAATTTTAATAACTGCCCATTATATGTTTTGTTTTATAGTGATTTGATGACAATGAAATCATTGCAGGAAGATGGAGGCTGCGCATTTCTCAGTTCTAGAGGTATACATAATAATAAATGTGAAAGAAAGCATCCCTGTATTTGTGAAAAGAGAATGTATAAATAACCTGACTCAGTGTGCAGTATGAAGGAAAAGTAAAACTGGATCATTTTTTCATCTTTGTTGGCTTCCTGTGATGATATGTGAATACTTAATGACTGAGTGTCTTAACCACAGGACTCCGTCAGTCAAGCAAACAGGGTAATGGATGAGAAAAAGAAGAAATATTCTGAAACTTGACTTAGCACATCAGAAGGCATTTTACTTCCTGTAACCACAAATGTCTGGAGAACGGATGCCATTTGTTTCCAAGCCTGCAGTATCATTCTCTTTGCTACCTGGATGACACGCAGATCCAAAAAAAAAGAACATTGAAAAACAGCACTCGCATCTCCTTCTCACTAGGATAATCCACTTCTATACCCCCCCAGTGCTCTGATATCACAATTAAGAACTAGTATGTAGTTGTGGTTTTCTGTTTTCAGCTGGCTGGTTAGTGTTTGTTAGTTTTTATATGTAGAACAATTTTTTAAAAAGCATACTTTTGCTGTAAATTATATTTCTAGATTTGATGAATAATGCATACTATTCAAGTAACTCATACACCATCTATAATCCATATATACTCTCACCCTGCACTCTGTCTCACTGATTTGCTGACAAGTTGAGACCACATAGATACAGTAATATTAATTGACACTCACTGGATGTCATGGATGAAACTTATAATCTTCTAGGTACATGAATTTTGGTGTAGCCCAATCTGCATAGTAAGTTTGAGGGTATTGTGGGCTGCAGAGTGATACTATCTTGTGAAGCATACTAATAATGATAGTGCTAATAATAAAACTAAACTGTCCATAGATATTTCCTAGGGACAAGTAATTTCTTTTATAGCATCATACTTAAACTATAAAACTCTAGAAATTTAGTATTGACCAAGTAATGTGATCTATTCCACAACCAATATTCATAATTGTCAGTTTTCTGCATATCACTGTCAATATTTCCTCACTTTCACTATCATCAGTGAATTAACTTGTAATGTTCTTTAGATCTAAAATTGTTATTTACTTATGGTGTGTGTTTTGGGACCTTGTTATTAAAAAAATCAAAGTTTACTTTATAGTGTTTACATAATGAAATGTACCCTTTCTAAATCATGAGAAATATGAGTTTTAAAACTATGTACATCTGTTCAAGATGTGTAGGCTACTTTTATGTTAGCTTGACACAAGTTAGATACATCTGAGAGGGAGAACCTCCACTGAGTAAGTGCTTCAATAAGATCTAGCAAGAGGCAAGCCTTTAGGAAATTTTATTAATTAGTAATTCACTGGGTGGGGCCAGTTATTGTGGATTGTATCATCCCTGGGCTGGTGTTCCTGGATTCCATAAGAAAAGAGGCTGTTATGGTCTCTGCATCAGCTTCTGCTTCTTAGTTCCTGTATGGTTTTAGTGCCTGTCTTGACTTCCTTCAGTGATTGACTTTTATTTGGAATGTTAGCAAAACAATTCCTTTTCTACTCAAATTGTTTTGGTCATGGTATTTTAGCACAGCAATAGACACCCCAAGAGACCAACAAAACTGTAAGAGGGATTTATTTTACAACTCTAAGTTCTACTCTACCTGTGCTCAGGTAAGCAGGTATTTGCTCTCTTGTACTGTAAATTAGTAAGGCACATTCTATAGTTTCATATACTAAGTACATATTTGTGATTGACTCAATATTTCCTTGCATCTTTGACTATTGTTATTACTATCAATTATTATTAATTTTTAATTAACTAAAGCTTTTACATGAACCAGTGGTTCATTGTTTTTGTTAAAAAAGCACTTTTCTACTCTCAAATGTTCCATAATGTTTTCCATTCATGGGAATATTGATGTGCATCTAAGTTTTGACAATTATGAAGAGAATTATGCTACTTTGTATAGTCACTGTGTGAACATAAATTTAGTGCTTTTTAGTAAACATCTGGAACTCTGATATTAGAATCCTTATGTTAAGTGAAGTTCCATTCAACAAGGAACTTCTAGTATGTTTCACATAGCTTACATAATCTTACTTTCTCTGCAACGTGGGAGAGTTCCCTTTGCCTCTCATCTTTGCCAAGACACTATTCTCAATGCTTTCAATTTTTAACCACTGTGACAAGTTGAGGAATTCACATTTCTCTAAGAGCTAATGATAGCAATCATCCTTTTTTAAGTACTTATTGGTCACATATATATTTACCTCTGCCAAATATCTGTTTATATTTTCTCATCTCCCATTGGCTTTGTCTTTCCTTTTATTGTAACACTGTAAGCCATGTATGTAACACAATATTTTGTATACACTGTTTGATAGAATTATTTGTTAAACATTTCCTACTTTCAAGTCTTTGTGTTCTGAAATAAATCATTCAGCAATATAAAATATAACATTTTATTCAAGCTTGGCTTATCACTTTTTTGCTTTCACGGTAATACTTTATTATGAAAATATTCTTATTCAAATTTGCATAGATTTTAACAGTGTTATTTTTCCTAGATATTATATAGCTTCAGCTTATGCTTATATATTTAGTTGAAAGTACTGTTTTTTACTTTTTGCATTTTGGTCTGTTGTTTTATATTTTTTCTCTCTCCCTGTCTCTGTCTCTCTCTCTGTGAGTGTGTGTGACAGAGAGAGAGAGAGAGAGAGAGAGAGAGAGAGAGAGAGAGAGAGAGAGAGAGAGATCATGTGCCATGTGTGTATGGTGTGTATGGGTGCTATGGGTATGTACTTCAGAGGCCAGAGGAGGGCATTAGCTACAGTAGACCTGTACTTTCAGGAGTTTGTGAGCCACCCAGGTGCTGGGACTGAATTTAGGACCTCTGTAAGTGTAACATGTTCCCACATCTTTTTAAAAAGTCATAACAGACACTTATTGAATATTCCTGTGTGTCTGTCAATAGACAGGGCATTTAGACCACCTTTACTGTTCAGAGAGAGATGTTTGACTACATTTTATTTTGAATACATTTTGATGGAAATAGATGTTTTAATAACAATTTATTCTGATTATGGCTTACCTTTCCTCATCTCCTCCCATATCCTTCCTACTTCCCTCACCCGCCCAAATTCACACTCTTTCTTTCTCTCTCAATTTTGGATACAATAATATTAATAATAATAAAATAAAGTCAGATGAAATTAACAAACAAAACACAATGGGGCAAAATGAACAGAAGAAAAGGAGCCAAGGAAAAAGCCCAAGAAACTCATATAGACACAGAGACAAAAACATTTGCATGTGCAGAAATCTCATAACAGCACAAAACTGGAAAGAGTAATATGTATGCAAAGAACCTGTAAGAAAAACAGCTTTGACAAAGCATCATGAGACAAACAATCTCCAAAAAATGCCACTGAAGTCATTTTCTGTTCATCTTTTACTGCTGAGCATGAGGTCTGGCCATAAAAGTGGTTTGTGGTATCTTTGAGTCATTTTGATTTACATTGTCCTTATGTCTAACAATGTTGAACATTCTTTAAGTGTATCTTGGACATTGGATATTTCTATATTGAGAATTCTGTTTAATATGTACCCAATTTTAATTCGATTGTTTGGTATTTTGATGTGTATTTCTTGACTTCTTTGCATAAAGATCCCTTGAGGCCAGAACCCACTTGTGAATGTCCTCATTGCAGACCTCTCCAGCTGCATTGCAGGTGGGGGCATTAATCCCTTCCCAAACCGATAGTTTGATTAACATTTCCCTAGTGGGGCTCAGGTCTACTCTGCTCCACTATCTCATTGACATGTGCAAGAAAATCAGTGACAAGTTCCCCTGACTGTTGAATCAGATTGCAGAAGTGAAGGGTCTTGCAAGGTGCATAACTTAAGAGCTTTGAAGGCCAGGTCAGAAACCTGTTGGTAGTAGGCTTGATGGCTAGTCTGTGCCTGATGAATGGGATGGACAAAGTTACCTCATCCAGTGAACATGTCAAGGTTCACTGGAATATCAGTTAAGAGGTTCATGCATGATAGAGCTTCTGCCTGATCATGGTAAGCCAATTTCCAGCTAAGAAATGTGACCAGCTCCAGCACAGCTTTGAGGAGGCTATACTAATCAAAGTAAGTCTGTAGTTGAATTGCCCATTTAATGAAGACCTGTTCAAAGGTGAATCTGGGCCTGACTCATTAGCCACCTTCTAGATAAGGGAAAGTTCAGCTAGCTATGGGGGTGGGGATCCAGGGCTGGTTAATATCATTTTGTTCCAGGTTGAATGGGAAGGTTTTGCCAGCCTTTGAGGCCTGAGATGGGGGTGGTGTGGGCCTGTGGCAGTTGGAGGTCATAACATAGTGCTAATGGACATTGTGAGGGCATTGAGGCAGAGGTGTCTCCTCCAGTGGTGGGGGAGGAGCCGACAGAAGCAACACATGCAGTGTTAACTGTGGCTGTGTTCTCCTTAGCCTATCTCACAGGGCTTAAACTGTTAACTCATCACCAAATGTTGTGAAGAGATCAGACATGGAAGGTGTGGAGGTGAAGGCGAGGTTACCAATTTTATAGAGGATGGCAGCAAAAGAGCAACTCTCAGAAAGGAGATGACTGTCCTGTCAACATGGGTGGAACAGAAAAAAAAACATGTGCCTTCCTACCTGGGTGGGTAGACAAACATGACAGACAATAAAAAAGCACAAAAGAATGGGGGTTCCAATGCTTACCTGCCAAAGAGACTGAGAACACACAGCATAGAAGGACCTTCTCACTGAAATACACTATCTTGGGACACTGTCCACCATTGTAAATGAGGAAAGGGAAACCCTAGAACCTGTTCTGGGCAAACCCCCAAAATTACAACCACAAAGAAAAAATAAAAGGTACTCTGATGAGGCAAGTTCAAAACCTATGCCAGAAGTCCCTGTTCTAGGTGACAGATGTTTCTGGGTTCTAATGGATTCCACAGGGCAGGGGGTGAGAAGCCTCAGTGACAATGACACAGATACCTGCAGTCAGAAGAAAGGAAAAACAGAAGACTCATTTACTTAGCAATGGCAGGAATTTTATATACCATCCTAA